TGGCGTTTATGTGGCCTCTTCAGCTCATGTGGCCTCTTCAGCTCAAAAGTGGGGCTCTTCAACAATCAGTAACTCAATTGCTATTTTTTTTTGCAGCAAAGCAAGTGTTATTATGGCGTACAAAAATATGAAAACTGAAGTTACTTTGTGTAAATTTTCATAAGATTTCAACACTAGTAAGTGATGGAACCAGACTTAAAATGAGGTCATTCAATATCAAATTCTAAGTCCCCCCCCTTTTTTTAAAAAAAAATTAAATTGTAGTTGACATGTAATATTATATGAGTTTCGGGTGTACAGCATAGCGATTCAGCTTTTATATACCTGATGAAGTGATCATCCTAAGTCTAGTAACCATCTGTCACCATGCAGCATTATTGTGATATTATTGACATATTCCCTAGGCCGCACATTACATCCCTGTGGCTTGTTTTATAACTGAACGTTTGTACTCCTTACTCCCCTTCCCCTTTTGTGGCCATTCCCCACTCCCCTCTGGCCATCATCAGTTTGTTCCCTGTGCCTGTGAGTGTGCTTCTGTTCCATTTTATTAATTCGTTCTGTTTTTTAGAATCCACATAGAAGTGGAATCATACAGTATTTGTCTTTCTCTGACTGACTTATCTCAGCATAATAGGCTCCAGGTTTGTCCATGTTGTCTCACATGACAAGATTTCATTATTATGGCTGAGTGGTATTCCCCTGTGTGTGTGTGTGTGTGTGTGTGTGTTCTTTTCCAGTCATCTATCAATAAACACTTGGCTTGCTTCCATCTCTTGGCTATTGTAAACAATGAAAATCCAAACCACAATGAGATACCACCACACACATGTCAGAATGGCTGCTATCAACAGTACAACAAAGAGCAAGTGTCGGTGAGGAAGTGGAGAAAAGGGAAGCTCCGTGCTCTGCTGGGTTGTAAACCAGTGGAGATTCCTCAAACAGTTACATAGAACTGCCCAATAACACGGCAATTCCACTTCTGGGGACCCGTCTGAGGAAAACAAGAACACTGATTCGAAAAGATATCCGCACCCCAATGTTCATGGCATATTCTAAGATTTTTGGTGTGAGTTTTAACTACACTACAGTGCCTATCTGGTGAGAATTAGAACAGTGGAAGGAAATTTCCCCAAGGAGGAAACATATGATAGCCATAGCTTGGGGCATGTCTGTTTTAGGGACTGGAGAGAAAAGGGCCCAATAAAGAGAAAGGGGCAGAAGAGGACTGGGGAGTGTGTGACTCTAGAAAGCAGGGGAAGCGGGTGGAGAGCTCCCAGCATGAGGACGGGCAGCATTCTTAGGTGTGACCCGCAGCATCAGATGCTCCAGCCGAGCGCAGATCGCCTTCTTCACTGCACACTTGCCTTCTTCTCGCCGTGGACTCTCCTTGTACACGTTTTGTCTTTAGCTCCTGAGCTAGATGACAGATTCCTTGAGGGCAAGGCCCATGTCTTATTTTCCTTCTAGTCTCTGTACCGCCTGCCCAGAGCTGTGTGCATGGACTGATATGAGATGTGAAAGCTCTCTGCACAGGGATGATTAATCATCACTAGGATTTTTCCAAAGGCACGGTCTCCAGTGCCAAGAGCGCATTTGTTTAAAATGTGCGCTTAAATTTGAATGAATCTGCCTAAACGGTGCCATCTGTTCTTAGGCAGTTTCAGAAAGGTTTTAATACAATTTTATCTTGAAAAGGACAAACGCCTATGAGACATAAAGACGTCCTTAAGTAAACACAGAGCAGACACCCGCACACTCAATCACACTTAAACGGCTGCACTGAAAGAATGTTTTCTGAGGTTTAAGAAAATTTTAGCTAAGAGGACACCAACTACTACTTCATGCAGAAAATATTTATGAGACGTTACAAAATTGTAGGCATGGACTCCTACGGCATATTACGGCATTTTAATTACAGACTCCAGAAATGCGATGTAATTGATATCAATCTCACACTCCTTTGAAATGGGTACACTCTTCCCTTTCTCACTAAGGGCCTACATTTTACTGTGGCTTCAGTATCTCAGTTGAGAAGACAGCTGTTGGGGCAGTCGCTATGGTTTTCTTTGATATCGATTGTCAACTTGACGTTCATTACAGCACTGTAGGATTTATTGTTGTGTGAATGTAACAGTGGAGTGAAACCCGTGTTTAAGTTCTGCAAATAACTTACAGTCACTTCCAGAACACCTCAACTTAGGTTCTAAATTTGAGTCTGCGGTTTTACATGCACAGTTATTTGCTGATCCACTTTAGCAAAATCACACACTGGCTAGGCCGGGTATAGTTATTGTGGCGACAAGAAATGGGTCAAATTTTCAGCCTATTTACCTCACTAGCTACATCATCATCACCAAAACTATGCCAGTATTTTGACATCTGGGTATTTTGCGCATTGGCGTAAGTCAATGATAGTGTATATCAAGAATTTATATTTACAGGCAATTTCTGGTTGGAATAGCATCCAAGCATGTTAACCGTCTGCACACATGTGCATTCATATGGAGTCTAAATTCCATTCTGCAAAAGTGGGGCTCTGAAAACTCATATGAACACTCATTTGGGATTTTTTTAGATTATTTTTACATGTGTTTAGATCTCACAATTTGCTTCCAATAATCTTTAAATAAAAGCAGTGGGATAAAATTGAAGTCCCCTTGTTGGCTTGTTGCTTCTATCCCTCACAAAGGCAACTACTACCATTGACTTGCATATCCTTGCAGTCCATATTTTTTTTTCTTAAAGACCTAAGTTATAGCACCATGGATAAATATTTCTACATCGCACACTGCATTTTTAGTAATTTAAGTTCTAACATAGTGTGTACATCATTTTTAGCTTGCTGTTTCCTCAGCCTTCTATTTTAGAAATCAACTGAGGTCATTCTACCCAAAAGTCACTTTATTTTAACATCTCTATAGTTTAAATTATCCCAGTTTATTCATATTTTCACCAGAGATGTTCATTTAGGTTGTACATCTAACACCAATTTCTTGCTCAGTGTTTCAGTTTCTCTCTCTCTCTCTCTCTCTCTTCCTCCCTCCCTCTCTTTCTCTTTCCACCCTCCCTTTCCCCCCGCCTGCCTCTCCTGGTGTGCCTCTCTCAATTTCTCTCTAGGAAATATACCTGGGTTGTGGATTATAAGCATTTGCAAGTTTACCACATATTATCAAATTGCTCTGAGAAAAGGTTCTTAATTTACATTCCCACCGGCAGCATATAAAAAGTTCCCATTTCTTTATATTCTTACAAACACTTTTGTTAAACTTTACTTGAAATTTTTTTTTGCCAGTACAATGGATAGGAATGAAATCGTTTATTGTTATAACTCTAATTATTTTGCTCTACCTATTTACGAGTTTAAACATTTTTTAAATACTTATTAACCATTTTCAGGTATACTCTTTATGGGTTGTCTGTCCATAATCTTTGCTTATTTTTTTCTGAGTTGTTCATCTTTTTCTTATTGATTTGTGGGAGCTCTTTATTTCAAATATTTATCTTTTGTCAGCTATATGTCTTGCAAATATCTTCTCTTAATCTTTAAACTTTGTGGTAGATTTTATCACACAGAAGTCCTTTAATTTTGGACTATCAGGTCAAATATTTTAAAATCAATTTATTTTTGTATTTTATGTCTTATCCTAAAATATCCATTACTACCTTGAATTGATTGCAATATGCTACCATATTTTCTTATTTAATGTTAAAGTTGTATTTTATACTTAAGTCTTTAATACAGTCTGGAATTTACTCATGTGTATAGTGTGAGGCTATCTAAATTTATGGTTTTCATGATGGATGGCCATTTATCCCAGCACCATTGTTGACCGGCCATCCTTCCTCACTCTGGGGTGGCCACACCTCTGTCCTACAGACCTACTGAGTGAGCACAGCATGTTCCCTGGCCCTGTCACCTGGTCCTGTGCCAGGACCCTCTGTTTTAACGATGGTGGCATGATGATGCCCCTTGATATATAGCAGGACAAGTCCCCTTTCCCGGTTTTTCTTTCATATAATTGTTTTTGTTATTTTTCAATATTTGTTCTTCCATCTGATTTTTAGAATCAATTTGTTTGTTCTGTTCCAGAAACAAAACCTGTGGCATTTTTATTTCAACCACATTGAATATGTAGGTTAATCTAGATACATTAACATATAGATTAATTTTGATTTCTCACCCATGAAACAGTATTTTAATATCTAGCGCACCATTAATTCGGGTTTTCTTTTTGTGCCTTTAATATAATTCTGTCTTATTCCCTACAAATTACACATTTTGTAGGATTAATCCCTTATTATCTCATCGTCTTTGCACCACTATGATACTTCCTGATTGTTGCTGGGTCATTAAAACTTCATAGACTTTGCATTTTAATCTTGCAGAAAGAGAAACAGAAAGAGAAACATTGTAAGTCTTAACAGTTTGTTTGTAGATGATCTTGCATGTTCTATGCAGGCCACTGTATTTCCTGCATATAATGACACTTGATCTTGTACTTTCCCATCCCTATGCCTGGTATATTTTTTTCTTGCTTATTCCATTGGCTGGGACCTCCGGTTCTGTGTTAGGTGGTAGCAGTGATGCTGGGCATCCTTGTCTATGGATTGTGTTTACAACTATGTAATGAATTCTCTCCGCACATCCATTCTCACCATGATCGCCAGATTGAGCATTTCAATGTGGCTAGCCAAGGCTAAGGTGTGAATTGTTGTCATGTAATGAAATAAAATGGTCATATTAGTAAGAGGACCCAAGCTTTACCGCATTCTGTTTTCTCCTTTCCTGATTGAACCCATCTACATCTGCTACCAGGCATTCAATATGTAAAACAGTTAAAATAATTCATGTAAGGGCCTCAGCTACAAGTGTTTGGTGGTTGTTATTCCATTTGACAGCACTGGCGTTTATGGGAAATGTCTTATCGGAAACAGAAATTTATATATGTTGATACTCTTCAACCTTTCTCATTGTTCACATTGTTGTTGTTTTGTAGACTCCTATGAACCAAGCTTCCACTCGTTCCCACTGCATTTTCACTATTCACTTGTCAAGCAAAGAACCGGGATCTGCAACTGTCCGGCACGCGAAACTTCACCTGGTGGACTTGGCTGGCTCCGAGCGAGTCGCAAAGACTGGAGTAGGGGGCCAGCTCCTGACAGAGGCCAAGTACATCAACCTGTCTCTGCATTACTTAGAGCAGGTGAGGTGGGCAGAAGGGGCCGTAACTATCCACCATTTGTTGACCGTGTATTTTGCATCTGGCGTTCTCCTGACATTTTGTTTTGCTTTGCTTCTTTTCTTCTTTTATTGTGGTGAAATATACATAACATAAACATTACTTTTTAATAATTTTTAATCTTCACCTGAGGATATGTTTATTAATTTTAGAGAGAGAGAGAGAGAGAGAGAGAGAGAGAGAGAAAGATAAAGAGAAACAGAAAGAGAGAGAAACAGAGAGAAACATCCATGTGAGAGAGAAACATTGATTGGTTGCCTGCAGCACACACCCCAACTGGGGATTGAACCTGCAACCTGGGTATGTGCCCTGACCAGGAATGGAACTGGCCACCTTTCAGTGCGCCGGACAACAGCCAACCAACTGAGCCACAGCGGCCAGGGCTATTTTGAATGTCTGAATTTGATTTTGAGGGCAGAGAAAGCTCATCTAAATTTAGCTAAATAAATCTTCCAGGAAAAAAAATATTATCTCTAAAATGAGTGAATTGAATGAGATTTCTCAAATTCCTATCAGCGCTGAGTATAAGTGCTGGGAGTTGAATGTGAAAGATGGCTACTACTTCCAAATTCTAGAAAGAAGAGAAACATGATCAAAAACTGGAGTGGAGAAATAGAGTATATTGGCAAGGCAGAAGGACTTGTTAATGAGTGACGGAGGCTAACAGATTTAAGGGGGAAAAGCACCTTTTTAAATTACCTAATGAACCTTTGAGACTGATGTTGTTTGGGTGTCGAATGCTTTGTAAGGGTCACGTTGGCTGAAAAAGCGATAGAGAGAAAACCTAGGGAGCTCTGTGTGAACAAGGTGCACATAGTTAGGCTCAGCCCAGCATACAAGGCCACGGGGCACCTCATCGTTCTCGTGTCTCTATTAGAGTCAGTGTTCCTGGGCTCTTTCATCTCAGGTGTTTCTCCTTCTCCTTAACAGAGCTTCTGACTTAGTAAGACACTGAGGAAACATTGAGAGGAAACCCTGATGGACTGTATGTGATGTGCTTTCTGCGAAGAAAGGTACCTCTTTGTTTCAGATGGTAGCACGGCCTAACATTCTCTCTACGTCCATCTGTTCATAGAAAATAACGTTCAATAGTTGAACCAGAATTTCCGCCAGATGTCATCACTCAAGAGAAATGCATTGCCCCTAATCCTTTCTTTTTCCTTGTTTTACACCATCTTTGCAAGCTGCTACTTCTCATGAAAGCTCTTTCTCTCCCCACAAACTTCTCTTCAAAATCCTCGGAGCATCAGCCCCACGGGGACGCATTGGTGGCCATGTGGCATTTGATTTTCTGTATAACGACTGCATTGATTTAACACATACTTATGAGGAGCGCCATGTGCTGAGGTCTGAGCCTGCCCCGGAGCACAGTGGTGAGCAAAACAGAAACAGTCTTTGTCCCGAGGGCCTCGTGGCCAGTGCAGGGAGTCACGCACTGAGTAAGGATGCGCCTGCTGTCCCGGTGAGAGCTGTACAGGGAGAGTCCGAGGAGTGAGAGAGCCGGTCACCGTGCATGTAGACAGCGGAGGGAGCGGCCATGGGGCTCTCTCAGCGCTGACATTAGGCGGACACCTGCAGAATGAGCAGGACCAAGCCAGGCCAGAACTGGGTAGAGCCTGGCAGACAGAAGGGACCGGGAGTCTGTTGGCCCTCGGCTCCCGGCCAGGGTGAGGGCTGCACCAGGATAGCAGTGACCCTCACATGGCATTCACCACTGGTTCTGAATGTCATTCATCTGTTTCATATTCACCCACTGTATCATTCCAATTGTTAACTGTTTGCACTGATAATCAGCTACTGGAAAGAGGATATTAGCATGAGAGGAAAGAGCATTAACATGGAAATGTAGTAGTGGAGGTAGACCTGTAGGGTTAAGTCAGGAAGTAGCTGCCAGAAAGAAAGGAGGTGGGTAATAGAGAAATTTTGAAATTTCACACAGAAAGAGATAAGAGAGAGAGAACCACAGAGTACACAGAATGAGAATAATAGAAACAGCAGGCAGATACTGTTAATGAAATAACAATTCAAAGACTTTCATAATCAAATTTTCTTTGTGTCTAATGAGACAGGAAGTGTAACACAAATGAGTTTAATTAGCTTCATTCATTCATTTACACATTCAACAACCTGTGATCGCGTGTCCCCTGGGCGCTGTGAGTTACCTAGGCAGTGGGAACAAATGTGTGATTGAGAATTAGGCTGTGCTGTCATGCTCTCCAGCGAAAGAGCAAATCATGTAAGTGACTTCTCACCGTGCAGGACGATAAAAGCTGCAACAGATCCATGGGTCAGAAGTGAATTACATCCTCTGGGTCTCAGTCACTGTGTAAGAGGGAGATGGATTTGGCCTGGGACATTCTGGCGACCTTTGCTCATTAATTAGCTCGCAGTGGCTCTGGAAACTGTGTGGGACTGTAACTGCCCTTGGCCAAACCGGGAGCCCTCCCATCCGGCCCAGGTGGCCCCAGCCATGCACCTGGTTGGGCGTTCAGGTGAGCAACGCTGTGTGCCAGGGGCTGTTGGTTGTGGAGTTCTCCTGGTGTATGCAGCACTGTCTCCAAAGGTCTCCTCAAAAGCATCTTAAACCACAACAGCAGGGTAATCTCAGCCCGGAACTCGAGTCCCTGAAGGATAAAGGGGCCGGGCAGACTTGTTCCGACCATAGCCTCCCGGGCGCTCCTGGTGTGACGGTCCCACCCGCCCAGCACTCAGTGAGAAACTGCCCTGAGCACAGAAACCCGAGTCGGGAAACTCCCGCCAGTGGGCCTCCCGGGTGGCCTCCCGGGTGTCTTTTTCCACTTGGCCGCCACGGAGCGCTCTGTGCTCAGAAGAGAAGCCCGAGGGTGCCGGTGCCCTGTGACCACGCAGATCCTTTCAGTTTCCCCAGGGCGACTTCCATGCACCTCTGAGCTCTGACAAGTAAACCTCTCTCACTCATTCAATAGTAAGCTGCATTATTGATGTTAGGCATGGCTTCTAGATACTTGGAGGTATGATTACGTATAATGTGAGTTTTGCTCTTGTCACTTAAAGAATATCTTCAGGAACATGTTATTGTATTTATATATGAAATCCAACATGGATGTGAATGTTAAAAAAAACAACCCCGGTTGTATGACCACCTCCTTCCCCTTGGGTTCCCGCCCACTGCAGAGCCCACAGCAGCCCCAGCTCTGCTCCTCCCAGGCCCTGCCGCTCTGCAGAGCTGGGTCGGGGCTGATTGGGGGGCACCTAAGCGCTTCATCGTTGAGGTGGTACCTGCTCAGAGTCTCTTCTGAGAAATGGCCTGCGACTGGGTCTCTGTGGCTAAGACAAGTCTCTACGGGGATCGTAAAGGACAGTCTGAAGACGCCTCCAAACCCAGTGCCTTCTCTTTACCAAGAACTAACCCAAAAACGATCTCTCTTGATCTCCAAAGCATTTCTGAGAGCCAGGCAGGCATTCTCCTCCCACTGTCACAGGTGGGGATTTTGCAGGTGAAGCAACTGAGGCTAATACATTTAAGAGATTTGCCTAAAATCACACAAGTGGGGAAACTGGATTCCGACTCCAAATCCTGGGTACTTTCTTTTCTCAACTGGCTTCATTTCCCCAATTTTTAAAGACTGTATTTTCTAATCTATACTCTCATTTTGAATTTTAATTATTTCCTTTAACAATTTAGAACCCTTTCTGGGGAGGACATTGGGATTGCCTCTGTGTATATCACTCATTCCAGGGGTAGCAGCCAGGAGCCCATCCCAGCTCCAGGAGTGGACCCTGACTGGTTGGAACCTGTCTTTCTCCAGGCTGCAGTGATTGGTTCCTGGGTGGACCCATGACCCAAATTGGTCCCTAGAGAAGCTGGTTGGGGGGAAAAAGGCCCTTTCTCACCTCAGTTATGAATAAGGAAGTTAGTAATTGGGCATTTGGCAGCCATCCTATGCCGGGAGGAGAGGCAGACTTCTCCTATGGGAAAGATAGAGCAGATACGGGCATAACTGAGTCTTTGGTGGTAGCACTGAGACAATCAATTTCCCTTATGATTAAAGCCAACTCAAATTATGTTTTCTCTTGCTGCAACAAAAGACAAGTTAACTAACACCACTTAGTGTCGACAGGAAGTTTAATATGTTCTTCTTTATGTTGTCTAAGTTGCCAATAAAGCTGTTGAATAGAGGAGATATCAATATTATTTCTTGGAGCAGGGAAAAAACAGTGACATTTGTTTTATGAAAACTTCAGCGTATTTAGAACATTGTTAGATATTTAACTGGTGATTCATAAACACTAGTGCCACTCTCTCTGCACAGTCAGACCTGCCTGGCCGCTCGCAGATACTTCATTGTCCGCTTGGCTCCACTTAGTGCCCTGGGCGGCCACCTGGCCACTCAGACTTGGGTCTGGCCCACTTCCTTTCCAATTACATTGAAATTAGCTCTCAAAAATCCCATTCCATGCACGTGACCCTCACACTGCTTCCCAGTGAACTAATTAATCTGCTCATTTATCTGTTCAGATTAATTTAACAAAGATGTGGTGAGCACATGTTGAACACATGCTGAGCGCGCGTCTGACCACACCACCACGCTCTGCAAGCGCTGCAGCATCCCCACTTGCCACTGAGACATAAAGTCCTAGATTCCAGAAGCTTCCCTGCAGCTGCTGCAGAAAAGACAGATGCCTTTGTTACCACACTGTCCTGTAAATCTGATCGTCCTCAGGGCCTCCACCCTCCTCGCTCACCTCCAGATCCCACACAGGGGTGTCTGCTCCATGGAGCTACATCTCAGGCAAAACATGAGCTGCAAGAGAGACTAGGAAATGCGGTTTTACAGGACCTAAAACTAGAATAGGGGTTGTCATGAGAGCTGAGTGAGACGATTTGGTTTCTGCCACACGTACTGGCCACTGGGCACTGTTCCAGGCAGTGGAGATAGAGCAATGAACAAGGAACAAAGTCCCTGGCCTGTGGAGAGAAAGCCTAGGGGGGAGGCAGATAACTAACAAATTTATGAAATTTCTGCTAGTGATAAGTGCCCGAAGAAAAATGGAAGGGAGTGACAACTTAGAGATAGGGGTGTTGCTTTTTATAGGAATTTGAGGGAAGCCCTGTGAATAAGTGAAGTTTGAGTAGAGATTTGATGAGAAGCAGGAAGCTGTGTGAAAATCTGGGGTGCCCTAGCTGGTATGGCTCAGTGGATAGAGCGTTGGCCTGTGGACTGAAGGGTCGCGGGTTTGATTCTGGTCACGGGCACATGCCCAGGTTGCAGGCTCAATCCCCAGTAGGGGGCGTGCAGGAGGCAGCCGATCAATGATTCTCTCATCATTGATGTTTCTCGTCCTTCCTCTCTGGAATCAATAAAAGTATATAAAAAAAAAAAGAAAAGAAAATCTGGGGCAAGAATATTTCAGGTAAAAGGAGCAGTTCAAAGGCTGTGAGGTGGTCAGCTCGGCATGGCAAGGGCGGTGGGAGCATGACAAGGGCGGTGGGAGCAATGAACGTACGACGGGAGATGGGGTCAGATAGGTAGACAGGGACCAGACCACACAGGAGTGGGGGCATGATACTGTCTCATGAAAGTTGTAAGCAAGGCAGTGACTTGATGAAACTTACATTTCTTAAGGAACCCTCTGGCTGCTCCACAGAGAGTAGACCATGTGAGGGCAAAAGGAGAAGCCAGGAGACTGATTCAAAGACATGTCATTGTCCCAGAAGGAAGATGGAAGTTTGGGCTGGAGTGGTGGCAGAGAGGTGGGGAAAAGTGGTCCAGTTCTGGGTATGTTTTATAGTTAAACCCAATAGAAAGTTGCTCGTGATCAGATGTTGGAGGTGAGGGGAAATAAGAAATGATGCCTGAGATTTTGGACTGAGCTAGTAAGTAGATGGTGGTGCCATTAATAATAATGGGGAAGGCCCTAACCCAGTGGTTCTCAACCTTCTGACCCTTTAAATACAGTTCCTCATGTTGTGCCCCAACCATAAAATTATTTTCGTTGCTACTTCATAACTGCAATATTGCTACTGTTATGAATCATAATGTAAATATCTGATATGCAGGATGGTCTTAGGTGATCCCTGTGAAAGGGTCTTTCGACCTCCAAAAGGGTCGCGACCCACAGGTTGAGAACCACTGCCCTAACCGATTTGGCTCAGTGGATAGAGCGTCAGCCTGCGGACTGAAGGGTCCCAGGTTCAATTCCAGTCAAGGGCATGTACCTTGGTTGCGGGCACATCCCCAGTAGGGGGTGTGTAGGGGGCAGCTGATCGATGTTTCTCTCTCATCGATGTTTCTAACTCTCCCTCTCCCTTCCTCACTGTAAAAAAATCAATAAAATATTTAAAAAAAATAATGATAATGGGTAAAGTCTGGAAAAGAATCAGGTTTAGCGGTAGAGGGGAGAGAATGTAAAGAATAGACATCCAAGATGTAGAGTTGCCATAAGGGTAAGCTCAGGGAAGAGGTGAGGCCGATGATGTCAGCTGGGGAAAGATCAGGATATAGATGTTCTTTAGGCCAGGAGATTGGATGAGTTTACACAGGGAGAGAGTGTGGGTAAGAAAAAGAAGAGGATCAAGGATGGAGCCCTGGACCACCCCAAAATTTATAATTTGGGAAAACGAAAAGGAAGCATTCATTGACTAGTTTTTAAGAAAGATGAAAAACAGGGAAGTGTAGTGTCCTGATTACTAAGTGAATAATACTTCCTAAAGGAGGTTCGGTACAGATTCAGAGGTCTAATAAGATGGCAATTTTGGTTCAGTGGGGGTTGGTGGTGACCTTGCAAAGAGCCACCTTAGTTTAGTGCCTATAGTGGGCATGCAGGATGGGAATGATCCAGGTAGGAAGAGAAATCGATTAGAGGAAAGAGGGGTTAATTGTAGAAGTGAAGCAGGTGAGAAGAGAGAAGGCGAGGGTGGAGTGCTGGCCTCTCACAGGAGTGGGGCAGTAACTGGAGGAGGGTGGAATGCGGATTTAGTGACAGGTCACGAGGTGGTCCTGGCAGGCTGCTGACATCGAGTAAGAAGGGTGTGTGGCTGTCAGCTCAGATTGAAGGCGGGAGAGGAGGCCACTCGAGGTTTGAAACAAAAGGATATGGTGTGACAGCCTCCTTTCTGAGAGTGGAAAAGTGATTTTTTTGAGAGAGAGAGAGAGAGAGAGAAATATCACAGGATTTCTGGTTTGCAGTGAATCACTGGTCATGAATTTCAAGCAGACCAGTGTGTAAGGTCTATGTTTTTGTTCATGACAGCCTTCACAAATAATGCTCTAATATTGCTTTGTAAAAGAAAGGAGTAGAAGAAGTTGTGATGGTGGCGATTGCACCGGGAGAGGGAGAACCAGGACAATGGCAGGTGTTGGCAGTATTTTCAAGAGCTAGGGCGGTGTGGTGCCCCTGAAGTCACCTCTGTGGGCCACTTAACTCCTGATGCTTTGCAGTGGGCATCCTAGCACTGGATTCATTCTCCCAGGAAAACCCTGAACCCCTAGTGGCTCCTGTGGGGAAACCCCCCAGCAGCCTTTCATCCATCTACCATCCACCCATCTAGTACCTTCCTTTTAACACATTGTTTGCGGGTAGTTTTTATCGCGCGCTAACAGGTGGCGCGGGCCATTTTTGCTAATTTTTTGCGCAAATGGCAACGTTCAGTAAAATTACGATAACTTTAGTTTACATATTTATACGTTACCCGCATTCTACCGCTAGTCTATAAAAAAAACGTATTAATATGTGTCCCGCGCTCTACTACACTGGTAGAACGTATAAATACGTAAAACGTATAAACACGTTTCCCGCATACAATGTATTAAGTACCTAAGACACTCAGGACTAAGATGAACAAGCCTTAGTTGAATCAACATAAATGACCCCTATCACTTAAATGATAGCAAACATGTAGGCTGCACTTATAGGCTAGGTACTACTCATATTTGTACATTTCACTCTTTTAATCTTCCCAGCTACCTCTGAGGTAGGCTCTGTTTTTTTCCTGAACTTTAGATGAGGAGACTGAGGCATGACCCTGTAAAGCTAGAGTTTGGACCTGGACAGTCTGGCAACAGAATCTAACCTCTACTGCCTGTTTTTTATTGTTTGTTTTGTGGCCTATGAATCTGTAAATTCTATTTTTTTTAATTACTCAGAGACATGTATACACTACAGTGAGATTTTAGTACCATATTAAAGTTTACATTTTGATCTCCAATTAAAGATTTCACCTTCATGAATAGATGCCTGTTATAAAGCTGAGATCTTTGTAATTCTAGAGGTAATTATAATTTCCTCATCAAGTTTATAACTGTTTCAAATATTGAGGGCTTTAAGCACAGGCCTGCTGGAAATTTTATAATTAAAAATAAATCAGCAGCCCCGCTGGAGTGGCTCAGTTGGTTTAGCATCCTCCCGTGCACCAAAAGGTTGCTGGTTCAACTCCTGGCAAGGGCGCATACCCAGGTTCCAGGTTCGATCCCTGGTCAGGGCATTCATGGAAGCAACCAATCGATGTTTCTCTCTCACAATAATCTCTCTCTCTCTCTCTCTCTCTCTCTCTCTCCGTCCCTCCCTCTCTCTTTCTCTCCCCATGCCCTTGAGTGAGGATTAAGTAAATAAATAAATAGCCGAAACCGGTTTGGCTCAGTGGCTCTCATCGGCCTGCGGACTGAAAGGTCCCAGGTTCGATTCCGGTCAAGGGCATGTACCTGGGTTGCGGGCACATCCCCAGTGGGAGATGTGCAGGAGGCAGCTGATGGATGTTTCTCATCGATGTTTCTGACTCTCTACCTCTCTCCTTTCCTCTCTGTAAAAAATCAATAAAATACATTTAAAAAATAAATAAATAAACAAACAAATAAGTCACCAATGAAGAGAAGCAGCTTTTAATAAATCAATATGTAGTTTTTGCTATTAAACTAATGTTTAATTTTGATTTGCTTACAGATTTAAGTTTATATTATATTAGTTAAAAATTATCATCTCAAAGTCTTAAAAATACAATTTTGTGAATTTAACATTTTTACTTTTCTGGTTAAAGCCACTTCAGATATAAAAGGTATCAAAAGGATACTGATCTGCCCCTTTTAACTTGAAGATGAGAGACAGACCAAGTTTGGTCAGATTTCTCAAAACCGGCATGACTTCCTCTTGAACCTTTATATGAATTTCCCAGTGGCTGCAAACAGAACACTAGTGTGGCCAGTTCTGTACACACTCTTATCATGTGTCCAGAAATTGCAGAGTTTGTCATGGTATGCTTTTGCTACATTTGCTTCATTCCATCTTCACCATTACTGCACTGAATGTTGTGAAGATATTTCTCCTGAGCCCGAGTCCTGGGTGTCTCCCTGCATTGCTTCACCTTTCCCTGTGGATTTTCATTGCAGTTTCTGCTCAGTTGTCTGACATACGTGTTCTGCCAGGCTGGTGACATGATTTGTCTGCCCTGCCACAGGTCATCATCGCGCTTTCAGAGAAGCACCGTTCGCACATCCCCTACAGGAACTCCATGATGACCAGTGTCCTGAGAGACAGTTTGGGAGGGAACTGCATGACGACCATGATCGCCACTCTCTCTCTGGAGAAAAGGAACATCGACGTATGTTGGCCCTTCTTTCTGGAGCTCTCAGCCTGAGTTATTAATGTTAGTCTGTGTGCAGGGTCAAGGGTCCTGGGTGGGTTTCCATCTTTTCAGCTGGGTTAGGGTGTGCCTTCAGGTTAGATACATCCTACAGAATCCACAGCTTTGCATTATTTGTCAGCATTAGAATGACCCCACTTGAGAACTGACTTCACGTAGCACAGGATGGTTTCAGAAGACCTGCTGATGGGTGGTTCGTTACCTTGGCAGAGACGTGAGAGGAGGCATCAGCTTCTCCTGCCCCTCTTGCTCTGGCTTACTAAGATACCTGGGAGCCATCTTCGAGACGTTTCCCTCAGCATGTCACTGGGCACAGTACCCAGGATGCTTTGGCAGGACTCGCTACCGAATGGCTTTCCTGGACCGCTTTAGAGATCTAGCTGATATTTCAAGCATTTCGGTTTAATGTTTGTGGTCCAGACTATCTCTGAAAGCGGAAGTGGCAGGGTGCCTCTCCAAACAAGGCCGAGCCCCGCCTGCCCTGCACCATGCTTCTCTTTTTGGTTTCTTACAAACATTTCTTTTGTCATCTTTCATGCGTATGGACCAGGGCACCTGCTATGGTTGTGATTGGCATATGTGGCTCTGCTTTAACAATGCCAGTTGCCACTTAGGACCTCAGGCTCCCCCACACCTTTGGCACTGACCATTTTATTAAGCCCAGTCAACACCTTAATAAAAAATACTATTCTAGAGCAAAGCTCCCTAACCTGGAGGCACATTTCCTCACTGTGTTTCATGCACATCTCTCTTCAGATGTGCACCTTTCCCTGTCCATCTCTCTGTGCCGTGACATTTTAAGGTGTTGTTTTCCTTTCTCAGGAGTCTATATCTACCTGCAGATTTGCACAGCGGGTGGCGCTCATCAAGAATGAAGCTGTTCTTAATGAAGAAATTGATCCCAGACTGGTAAGCAACTTTTAGCTGACTGTGTTTTAAAAAAATCAAAGTACTATATCAAAGATTAGCTACACTCTGGGGGCACTTACTCCTAACCAGGCAGTGTTCTAAGTCCTGAGAGCATGTTGACTCATTTAATTCTCCCAACAACCTTATGAGTAGATGTTATTTCTAGCTCCATCTTACAAATGGCAAAACTGAAGCACAGAAATGATAACTTGCTCAGAGTCAGGGTGCTCATAGGTAGCAGAGCCAGGATTCAGACACAGAGCCTGACTCAGGGCCTGTGCTCTTACCTGCAGTCCCCCATTCCTCCACTAGGGTGGCGTGCATGAGTCCTGAGGACTTACACAGTGGAATCATAGTTACATTTATATGCAGGTTGTAGCCTTTCAAAAACGCTTAACTTTCTAGAGACAATAATAATAGACCATCTTGTAAAAAGCTTGTAGAGAAAAAGAAGTCGTAGTGGTTATAAAATAGGACTCTATTTTGCATAACTGTTCTGTTATTTTTCTAGAGATTTTAAAAGAATTATAATGGTTTGATCCATGGAAAACTGGCAAGCTTCTAGTTTTATAACAGTGAATTGTACTTTATCAAAGTGATTTTTTAGGCAAATACACACACACACACACACACACACATATATATATATATATATATATACACATATATATATATATTTGCAAGTTACATGATTCAGCTACTCATAAACACAGATATTTCCTTTTTTCTCTATTTTGTTAGTCTTCCATGAATAAAATGAAATGCAGAATTCACTCATGCCAACACTGAAAATATTGACATAATATTTAGATTATATTCCTTTGCAAGTCACTCAGCTTTCTTTTTTTCTTCTTTTCTAGAAAGTAAGCTGGTATAAACTTAATAGTGTGCATTGTAAAAAAAAAAAAAAGTGTAATCTTACCAACAGTGTTTTATTTACAAATTTCTCAAATTCCAAAAGAAAAATCTCAAATTCACCATTACCCATATTAACTACTTCCTCTTGCTTGCTTGCCCTTCCTCCCTGAAATCATTCCTCTGGAGGGCAGAGGAGGAGGAGGAGGAGGGAATGGTGGGTCTGTGTTCTATCCCCTGATGTAATTCTCTCCAGGAGAAACCAGTGGGTGGGGAAGGATCTATTCCCAGCACAGATCCTGGTCGGATACAGCATCCCACAGGCCCCACTGGACAGGGGAGGCAACTTTCAGAGGAACTGAGTCCAGTGGAACTGAACTCCTAGGATGAATCTCCTGCTGCCTGAACCCTGTCAACAGCCCTGAAACATTACTGCGCAGGAGGAAGACAGTAATGGGTTATTAGCCAGAAGCCAAAAGTTAGTTTATAATTGAAGAAAAATAAACATATTAGACATTTAGTTAGTGGTTGTTTTTTGGTTTGTTTTTTTTTTTAATTTGGCTAAAGAGACTTTTCTTTAAAGGAACTTGAGGAATTTGAAAAAAGGTAAACATTATCATGTGTTTGATGTAGGTCTGTGAGAAATTTAAAAAGGAGTCCAAAGCTAGTAGCTGATAATTAAGCAAATGTGGAGGCCTTCCTGGAGCAGAATGATCTGACAAGTGTTGTTCCCTGGTCTCTTTTATAATTGCTTCTAAAGCCTGACATTACTGTTCATTCATTACCTTATGTATTTCTGAAGCACAAGTGACAATTGAAAATTTGTTCTCAAAACCACCCCAAATACCTCTTGAGTGGGATTTCCTATATCTCACCCTCAAAATTTCATGGCAAATGTGGACCAGCCCTGTCAGCTTGGATCAGCACGGATCTGACTTGCTTTCTGTATGAGAATTAGTGCCTCAGAGAGACAAGGTGATGAAGGAGCTGGAACCAGTGAGTCTGCGCTCACTGGGCATGCGTCAGATCTCAGGATGGCTCTCATCCTGAAGTCCCCGCAGTGACTCGAGGGGGAAGTGTGGCTGTCATAATTTCAAAATCATGAAAAGTTGGCTGAGTTTTAAGATTTTTGTTCAGTAAAACAGAAGATAATTTGTTAGATTTTACTTTGAAAGCCTCTTTAAAAGCAGAGAGCATGGCATCAAGATTAACTTAGTAGAGGGAGGGTACACATGAATGACTCACATAGTTCCTGTCCAAGGTTTTCATTCTGAGTAGCTTGATGATTCTAAGAATGTGTTTAAAAAGAGGTAAGTAACCAAAACCCACTCAGTTCTGTACATTTAAATGAAATTCTAGGAACATTGACGTGCTCAAAATATTCCTATCATCTTCTTTGGAACTTCTGTTGATGTGATACTGATAATATGGATACATAAAAATGTAACAAGCATTTTCTGTGAATTTACTTAAAATATATATGTCTGAGGCGGGAGGAAGTAGGGGACTTCTCCAGGGCCCAGAAACAAAGCCAAGGCTGAAGTTGTCATGGAAACAAAGGGTGAAGGGAGTTCAAAGGCAGAGAGGTCAAAGCCTGAGAAGGCAGATAATGAACCTAAGGCAGCTCTTCCCCCTTCCCTTCCTCCCCACCCCCAACCTAAAACCAGTGAAAGTTTGAACCTGAAGGGAAAGAATCTGTTCGCTTGGCCTCGACTCTGCGTAGAATAAAACATGGCTTCACTGAAAATTTGAAACCCCAAGGCTCTGCTTCTCATGAGTTTGAAGTTCAAATTTGAACTTGGTCTAATAACATCTAGGCCAAGAAGTTAGAACATAAACAATTAAGTAAATCCACAAAAGAGAAGTACAGAAATTAAAAAGTATAAAAACTAGTAAGAACAAAAGGAAAAGAAAGATACAGTGGAGAGAAACAACAGAACCTGGAGTTTATTTTTAATATGAACAAATCTCTGGAAAGACTAATGAAAAATCAGTAAAGGAAGCACAAATTGATATAACAGTACTTGGAATGCAAGGGGGACTTAACATTATATACAGTAACTATCTTAAATATATTTTTTATTGATTTTTTACAGAGAAGAAGGGAGAGGGATAGAGAGTTAGAAACATCGATGAGAGAGAAACATCAATCAGCTGCCTCCTGCACACTCCCCAGTGGGGATGTGCCCGTAACCAAGGTACATGCCCTTGACCGGGATCGAACCTGGACCCTTGAGTCCGCAGGCCGATGCTCTGTCCACTGGGTCAAATCGGTTAGGGCAATATACAAGAGCTACCTTAAAATAATAATAAAGTACTTTGAATGACTTTATGGTATAAATGTGAAAACTTAAACAAAACGTAACGCTAGAAAAACGTAACGCTGAAACTAAAGCAAGAAAAATTGTAAAGAAGGAATAGATCTACAACTAATAAATATATTGACTCCATAATAACAAAGCTACCAAAAAGAGAACAAAAGGGAAAGAGAGGAAGGGAAGGAAGGAAGGACCAGAATCAATATATTTTATGTTCATCAAATATTGGAGGAAGAATAAAAATTGTATTTAACCTAATTTTTATTTGTGACTTTGTATTATGATCAGTCATATGATCATTAATATAGTGTGTGTTATCATGACCTAGTTGGGCTTATTTCAGGAATTTAAGGATAATCTATCATCTAATCTAAAAATAGACAAAAAAGGTAATTGACCATACCTTCGCTACGCTTCCCATTGGCTAATCAGCGATATATGCAAATTAATCACCAACAAAGATGGTGGTTAATTTGCATATGTAGGCAGGAAGCCGCAGAGCGAAGACTGAAGAGGGCTCAGGCTGGAGCTGGAGCTGTGATCAAAGTGGCTCAGGCCGGAGCAGCGATCAAAGAGGCTGGGGACGGAGCAGCGAAGGCTTTGAAGGCGGCTCCGGCCAGAGCAGAGGCCTGGGTCCCCAGTGCCAAAGGAAAGCTGGTACATGCAGCCAGGGGAAGGGAAGGCCTATTGCATGAATCTTTTCATGCAACAGGCCTCTAGTTAGAAAATAAATGAATGTATAGTAAAATCAACATAACCATGGGAAAAATAAATACCAAATTTAGAGTAATGGTAATGGAGAATTCACTTAGGGCAGGCTTTACAGCACAAGGCTTCAAAGAGTCTGTCATGTTTTATTTCTTAAGCTTAGTCGTGGGTACAAGGTGTTCTTATACCTTTTTGTTTATCTGAGGTGGTTCATACTAACAAAAAAAATTACACAAATCAGGGAATTCATCACATTTACAGCTTAAAAGAGAAAAATTACATGATCACATCACCAGATGTAGAAAAAGGTATTTGATAACATTAAACATTCATATGTAGTTTGAAAAGACTCACCAGACTTTAATCAAATTTATTTTACTCAAATTTATTTCCTGTTAAAATTTGAAGAGGGCCTTTGGCAGAATTTCATGAGCTGGGTCTAAAATTTATATAAAAACGCAAATGACCAAGAATAGCCAAGTCTATTTGGAAAAGAACAAGATGGAAGGAACTTGTTGTATGTAGATGCCAAAATGTCTTAAGCTATAGCAGTGGTCGGCAAACTCATTAGTCAACAGAGCCAAATATCAACAGTACTTCTTCAAAATAGACTCGCCCAGGCCGAAAACTGACTTCTGTGCATGGGCCACGAAGTTTCAATCACACTGTACGCGCGCCCGCACGTGGTATTTTGTGGAAGAGCCACACTCAAGGGGCCAACGAGCCGCGTGTGGCTCGTGAGCCACAGTTTGCCGACCACAGAGCTGCTATAGTAATTAAAGCAGTGTGGTATTGCCATACGTATAGTCAAGCAGACAAATGTTTTTAACTAATAGCCTAGAAAAAGACACATTTATATATAGAAACGTTATATAATAGGATTATAATAGCAAAGCTTGTATGGTTAGCTGTATTAAAAAGAAATTTAAAATAGATCCGTATATTAGACTTTGTACAAAATAAAATCAACCTAAATGTGAAAAGCAAAGCTTTAAAACTTTTATAAGAACACATAGGAAAATATTCCTTTGGTTTTAGGTAAAATAGATTTTCTTTCAGAAGACACAGAAATCCAACTCATAAGGGAAGAAGTTGATAATAGAATTATATTGAAATTTAAAATTTTCATTTACTAAAAAGAACACCACAAAGTGAAAAAAATATGACATTGATTGGGATAAAATATGTGTGTTGCATAAAACTAATAAAGGGTGTGCATCCAGAATATATAAAGAAGCTGTAAATGAATAAGGAAGGAGAAAAAACAACTCAACGGAATATGAGCAAGAATCTGAATAAATAATCCACAAGAGAGGAGACCCAAAGAGCCAATATATATCCATACACAGATGACCAGCCTCTCTAATAATCATGAAAATGCAGATTAGAGCCGATTGAGATACCTAGTGGACAAAATTAAAGGGTCTGTCTTTAACGTACATAGTGGCAATAATATGGGGAAATGAACCGATACATAGCTGTTGAGAATGGAAATCTATGCCACTCTGAAGAGCAGGCTAACCCCATGTATTGAAGGGAATATGCAATACTCTACAGCAGTGGTTCCCAATGTGGGGCACACGCCCATAGGGGGGCAATGTGATTTTTTAAGCGCAACAATTCAAGAATGAGTTATTAACAGTGAATTTTTTTTGCATTTCTTATGGTTCTAGGGACTCATATACAGTATCTAAATATATACTGTGACATATTCATGCATTGCTGTTCTCTAGTATATGTTTTGAAATTTCATTTGCTATTTTTTCATATCACTTCATATTATTATTTTTAAAACAATTTCTTAGTGACTTCTTCCTCAGTACTTCAACCGTCCTTTGGTTCTTTTATTTTCTCTTTCATGGATGCCATGTTCTTTGGAAGCTTGTTTAGACCAAGTTGATGGTCTTTTAGGCTTCCTCTATGTGAATAGGAGTTCACTTTTTTAATAATAAGAATTACATGTCGTAGTGGGGGCATCAGGATTTTAGAGATGCGTAGGTGGGGCAGGGCCAAAAAAAGGTTGGGAACCACTGCTCTACACCCACGCAATTCCAAGTGCTCACTCTGAAGAAACTCACATACATGCCAGAGACTTATCATGGTCACACAACACTGTTTATAGCAGCAAAGATAAAAATCCTAAGTGTCCCTCAGCAGGAGACATGCGTAAATAAACTGTGATCTATTCCTTTACTGAAACACTATATACACATGAAAATTAACAATATAATTAACCTCAGAAATATAATGTCAGAGGGAATGAATTGCAGTTACATGCAATATAGTAACATTTACAAAAAGTTGAAGGCATACACAATGAAACCATACGTTACTACAGTTCCGTCCGTACACACGGAGTAAATACGTGAACATATGGGGAATGCTCCCTGCTACATGCAGTTAGCGATCACCCCAGAAAGGACAGAGGGATAGAGGAATAAGGGGTTCCACTTATGTCAGTAATGTCGTATTTGTTAAAAAGAATTCTAAAACTATTTTAAATAATATGTTAAGATTTCACAAAGCTCGGTGGGAGGCATGGGAGTGCCTTTTGTATCATTCTCTGTACCCTTTTGCATCCTCCAAGTAGGTTATAACTTGGAGAGGCGTGTGTCTCAGTCGCCGAGTCCCCGGAGGAGCTAACAGAGTCGCTCTCGCCTTGCCTTGTAGATGATCGCACGCCTGCAGAAGGAAGTCCAGGAGCTGAGGGATGAGCTGGCCCTGGTCACGGGGGAGCCGAGGACCGAGGCCCTCACAGAGGCGGAGCTCCTCCTGTAAGCCTGCAGACTTGCTTGCTTCCTCTCTGACAGTGAGAGTTTGTGTTAACGTCTTTGTTGGCCCTAATGTTATGAATGCACCTAAAAGCCTGAAGGTCTCCAGGTCGGCCTGCAGTTGCACTCTGGTGCCAGCTGGGAGTGGCGGCTCACCATGGAAAGATGGCGAGGCGGCAGGGTTCTTGTCGCCCGGGCTGGGGCTGGGGGGAAGTAGGGGCAGAGCATGGAGAGGGTGGGCATGTCTCCTCGTGCAGCTGAAGAAAGGGCTTGCCTCGCAATTGTAAAACCGTCCACCAGCACTCCTGTGCTGTGCCTCCGACCTGAAAGGAGCTCAGCAGAAGTCCCTTGTATTCAGCAGCATCTTGCTGCCGGCTCCAGTTTACCCCGGCAAAGCAGGCTCCCCCTTCATAAGTAGAAGGCCCATACAGTGCGGTTCAAACACCCGGAACGGGGCTGAAAGCAGGTATTCAGGGCCCCGGACAGGCGGGCCCTGTCCTTCGTTCCAGCCTTCTGATGCGTGGCCACGTGGCATGTCAGGGCCATGTGGCTCCTGTCCCCTCTCCGGTCCGGTCCCTCCTTGTGTCTGTGCTGCGTGTGAAGCCTTTGTGTAGTG